TTTTTCTCAGCTTCTTTATTTTCCATCATTTGGTCTTCTATATCACTTACTCTCTCTTCTTCCTCATTTATCCTTGCAGTTAGCGCCCCCATTTTTTATTGTACCTCATTAATAGCTTTTTTTATTTCAACTTGGTTAGATTTTAGTTCTTTTCTTTCTTCAGACAGGGTTTCTCTAATATCTTCCATGCTTTTTTCAAGCCCAGTTAGTATCTTTAAAATCAAAATTCTGAACTCTAGTTCTGACATCTTACTAATGTCCATATTGATTAGGTCTTTGGCAGTCGGTACTGCCTCCTGTTCTTTTTTTTTTTTTTTTGAGGTGATTTTTTTCCACCCTGACATTTTTTTCAAGAGGAGAATAGATGAATGAGAAAACAAAATGCTAATGAGTAACAACGACCCCAGAAAAATATACACTAAACACGTTAGAAAACACCAAAAACTGGGGGAAAAGAAAGAGAAAGAAAGAAAAAAGAAAAAGGAAAAGATAAAAACAAACAAGTAAAGTAACAAACAAATAAAATAGAATATGATCTAATATGATCAGGCTGGTGCATAGATCAGTGCCACAAACTAGATTTTGGGTGTATTTTGGTCTGTTAGAAGAAAGTGCCTCCCAAAATTTTAAAGAAAGAGAAACTTACATATGTACAAAAATAAGGATAAATATGATCAAGGGATGGAATATGACTGTAAAAGTGAGAAGTATAAAAGACTTTATAAAAGGAATTGATAAGATAAGACGTTGGTTGAAAAAAGAAAGAAGAGGATTTAAAGAAAAAAAAAGGGAGAGAATGTGATCAGGCAGGAGACTAGAACAAAGCCATACACAAGAGATTTAGTGTATATTTTGGTCTATTAGAAGAAACTGTATCCCAAAATTTTTAAGAGAGAAAAACTTATATGTATATAACAAAAATAAGGTTAACTACTATGAAGGGTTAGAATATGACTCTAAAAATGAAAAATAAAAAAGATTTTTTAAAATAGGGATTGATAAGACGTTGGTGGAAAAAGGGAAAAAGAAAAATTAAAAAAAAAAGTTAAAAAAAATTTACTTTGAAAGACTAAAGAATCTTGGGGAAAAAGCCATGAATTCTATGTGCAGTATTCCCCTAGTGCTGGCATTGTGCTGTTCTCATTGATCAGTAAACTTGGTCTTGGCTGGCTGTTCTTGCTGATCTTCTAGGTGAGGGGCCTGTTGCAGTGATTCTCAAATGTCTTTGCCCTAGTAGGGTTTTCCCTGCCCTTGCCGGGGTGGGCTAAGTAATCTGCTCAGTTTTGCTCTCAGGAGATTTTGTTCCCTGTAAGCTTTTGGTACAGCTTTGGAAGGTGAGAGTGAAAATGGCGGCCTCCCAATCTATACCTTGGAGGAACTGAGAACTCGGGGCCCCACTCTTCCGTGCGTCCCCAGAGAAAAGCAATCACTCCTGTCTCCCTGGTCTCTGGTCCCACTCTGTGCTCACCCAGCCTGTGACCGAACATTTCTCTTTCTGGCACACAACCCTGTGTGGAGTCTCCAAAGGCAAGAGAGTCCTGTGGAGCAGTCCCACACTGCTTCTTCCGGGGAGGAAAGGAAGTCTCCTCGGATCTTTCACTTTTTGGGTCCCTGCTGGAAGAGCAGTGGCCCGACCCTGCCATGGATCACAGTTTATAGCAACCCCAAGCTGAGAGCCCACTCCTCAATATTCTTAGACAGATACCTACTACCAAAACTGAAACCAGAAGAAATAGAAAATTTGAACAGACCCTTTACCAGCAAAAATTTTGAGACAGTAATCAAAAATTTCCCAAGAACAACAACAACAACAAGAACAAAAGAAAATATCCCAACAAACAAAAGTCCAGGGCCAGATGACATCCCAGGGAAATTCTACAAAATATTTAAAGAACACTTAATACCTATTCTTTCTAGCAGTTCCAAAAAGTAGCAATGGAAAGAAATTTCCAAACTCATTCTATGAGACCAGTATTACCTTGATTTCAAAAGCAGACAAATACCTCACTAAGAAAGAGAATTGTAGGGGCAACTGGGTGGTTCAGTCATCAAGCATCTGCCTTTGGCTCAAGTCATGATCCCAGGATCCTGTGATTGAGCCCCACATCAGGCTCCCTGCTCAGTGGGAAGCCTGCTTCTCCCTCCCACTCCCCCTGCTTGTTTTCCCTCTATCCTGTCTCTCTCTCTGTCAAACAAATAAATAAAATATTTAATAAAAAGAAGGGGAGTTATAGGCCAATATCCTTAATGAATATGGATGCAAAATTTCTCAAAAAAAATTAAAACAAACAAACAAAAAACCCTATTAAATCAATTCCAACAGTACATTAAAAAACATATTGACCATGATCAAGGGAGATTTATTCCTAGGCTCCAGGGGTAGTACAATATTTGAAAATAAATGAACATGATACAACACAACACTAAAGAAAGATAAAAACCGTATTATACTATCAATGGATGCAGAAAAAAGCATTTGAAAAAATACAGCATCAGTTCTTGACAAAAAAAAAAAAAAACAAAACACCAACAAAGTAGGTATAGAGGGAATATACCTCAAAATCATAAAGGCCATATATGAAAGATCCACAGCTGGTATTATCCCAATGGAGAAAACCTGAAGGCTTTTCCTCTATGGTCAGAAACAAGAAAGGAGTGTCCACTATCACCATTACTATTTAACATAGTCCTGGAAAACTTAGCATTAACAATCAGAAAACAAAAAGAAAGAAAAGGCATCCAAATTCAGAAGGAATAAGTCAAACTTCCACTACTTGCAGATGACATGATACTCTAGGTAGACAATGTGAAAGACTCCTCTAATAATTTGCTAGAACTAATACATGAATTCACCCACATTGCAAGATATAAAATCAATGTACAGAAATCTGTTGCATTTCTATATACCAATAATGAAGCACCAGAAAAAGAAATAAAGGGACGATCCCACTTGCAATTGCACCCAAAACAATAGGATACCTAGGGATAAACCTAACTAAAGAGGTAAAATATCTGTACTCAAAAAACTATAGAACACTTATGAAGGAAGTTGTATAGGACACAAAGAAATGGAAAACATTCCATGCACATAGATCAGAAGAACACATGTTGTTAAAATGTCTATACTACCCAAGAAATCAACACATTTAATGCAATCCCTTTCAAAATACCAGCAGCATTTTCCACAGAGCTAGAACAAACAATTCTATAATTTTTATGGAACCAGAAAAGACCCCAAATAGCCAAAGCAATGTTGAGAAAGAAAAGCAAAGATGGAGGCATTGCAATTCCGGATCAAGCTGTATTAGAAAGATATAGTCAAGACAGCATAGTACTGGCATAGAAAAGGACACATAGATCAATGGAACAAAACAGAAAACTCAGAAATGGACCCTCAACTATATGGTTATATATAAATACATATATATATGTGTATGTATATATATATATATATAAATACATAAGTTTATCACAATTATATAAGTAATTTTCGACAAAACAGGGAAAACTTATCCAATAGAAAGAAGACAGTCAATTCAACATATGGTGCCAGGAAAACAGGACAGCAACATGCAAAAAACCAAAAATGAACCATTTTCTTACACCATCCACAAATATAAATTCAAAATGGATGAAAGACTTAAATGTAAGACAAGAAACCACCATGATCTTGAGGGACAGCACAGGCAGTAACCTCTTTGACATCAGCCATAGCAACTGCTTACTAGATCTTTCTCCTCAAGCAGGGAAACAAAAGCAAAAATAAACTATTGGGACTTCATCAAGATAAAAATGTTTGGCACAGTGATGGAAACTATCAACAAACGTAAAAGGCAACCTACAGAATGGGGGAAGTTATTTGTAAATGGAATATCTGATAAAGGGTTAATATCCAAAATCTACCAAAATCTATAAAGAATTTACCAAAGTCAGCACCACCCCCAGGAAAAAAAATCTAGTTAATAAAGAAGCAGAATACATGATTAGATATATTTCCAAAGAGGATATATAGAGATCTGATAGACACATGAAAAGACACAATCACTCATCATCACAGAAATACAAATCAAAACTACAATGACTTATCACCTCACAACTATCAGAAGGATTGAAATTAACAATACAGGAAACAACAGATATTGGTGAGGATGTGGAGAAAGAGAAAACTGTTACGGTGTTAGTGGGCATGCAAGCTGATGCAGCCACACAGGAAAACAGTATGAAGGTTCTGCAAAAAGTTAAAAATGGAACTGCCCTACAACCCAGCAATTGCACGACTCAGAATTTACCAAAATAATACAAAAATACTGATTCAAAGAGATACATGAACCCCAAAGTTTATAACAATATTATCAACAATATTCAAATTACAGAATCAGCTCAAAAGTCCATCAATTCAAGAATGGATAAAGAAGAGGTAGAATACTCCTCAGCCATAAAAAGAATGAAATCTTGCCATTTGGAAGAATGTGGATTGACCTAGAGAGTATTATGCAAAGGAAAGTATGTCAGTCAGAGAAAGACAAATACCATATGATTTCAATCTTAAGGGGAATTTAAGAAACAAAATAGAAAGGAAAAAAAAAATGAAACAGAGGCAAACCAGGGAACATACTCATAACTACACAGAACAACCTGAAGGTAACTGGATGGGAAGTTGGGGGCAGATGGGTTAAATAGTTGGTGCAGATTGACCAGTGCACTTGTGATGAACACTGAATGTTCAATGTCAGTTTTGAATCACTAAGCACTACACCTGACAGTAGTATTTCACCGTATGTTATCTAACTTGAATTTAAATAAAACCTTGATAAAAATAAAAAAAATTTAAAATACAGTAAAATTATTATACATGAAAGAATGTGAAATAAACAGTTGTATCTGTTTTCCAAAGGAAAATGGTAACACTGACAGATATAATGCATATATAACTTTTCTCTAGGAAATCTCCCACAATCAGTTTTCTACAAGCTTGCAATTTGGGGCAAATCAATGTAATCTTAGTCATGACTTAAGGTAGCACACTGACTCATACACTTTCTCAGGGCTCCCTTCACTTCACTGTTTCTCAGACCGTAGATAATGGGGTTCAACACTGGGGTGAAGATAGTATAGAACACTGATACTATTTTATCATGATTAGCTGACCTATAGGATTTGGGTCTCATGTAGATAAAAACAGCAGCTCCATATAAGAGTCCCACCACAAAGAGATGTGAGGAACAGGTGGCAAAAGCCTTCTTGCAGGCCTCTCTAGAACACATCTCAAGAACTGCAGCAAGGATGAGACTATAGGAAATCAGGACGAGAGAAAATGGGACCAGGAGCATTAATACACAGCAGATGTACATCACATACTCAAAAACAACTGTGTCAGCACAAGCTAAATGCACCAGAGTAGGGGCCTCACAGAAGAAATGATTGATCTCATGTGTATTGCAAAATGGGAAGCTCAGGGTAGCAGCAGCCTGCATGAGCCCATCAGCTGCCCCCAGGAACCAAGACCCCACAGCCATTCTCAGGCATAATTGCCAGCTCATGAGAAAGGGGTATCTCAGTGGGTGGCAAACAGCCACATAGCGGTCATAGGACATGGCTGCTAAGAGGAAGCATTCACCCCCTCCCAAAGTGAGGAAGATAAAGATCTGCAACCCACAGCCAGCAGGGGAGATGGACTTCTGGCCAGTCAAGTAGTCAGCTGCCATTTTGGGCACAACGGTGGAGACCAGCATCATGTCCATGAGGGAGAGTTGACTCAATAAGAAGTACATAGGTGTGTGGAGCCGGGCATCCTGGTGAATCAGGAGGATCATGAGGGCATTCCCTACTAGAGAGCTGAAGGCAATTGTCAGAACCATCACAAAGAGAAATAGGTGGGCTCCTGTGTGGTTAAAGAGTCCCAGGAGAATGAAATTTGAGGTGGCATTCCAAATGTTCATGATTTCAAACAAGAGTGACACTGCAAATGAAGAAACAGATGACAGAGTTTTCATCATTTACAAGGCTCTATTTCAATTACACTTTCATGAAAATAATTTGTGAGAAAATGGTGAAATGTATTCCAAATGCTTCCTTTGAGATTTGCAAAGTTTTGTAACTTGGGCATAAAATTAATTTCAACTTTTTTTCTTTAAATTTTCAGTATAAGCACTTCTTGGCTTTAGTTTGATTAATTGGCATAATGAATAAAATTTCTTGATAAACTGAAGGAAGTTGTCAGCTGGTCTTGTGCTATCTGATACCAAAATAATGGAGAAGTAAAATATTCAGTTTGTCATTTACATTTGTGTTTGCTTTTATCATGGGTAATCAACATTCTTAGCAGCTGAATTAAATCAATGTGTTCAGCAATATAAAATGAATGTACTTATTAATGAGGGTTATGCATTTCTCATACATCATAATGTTTTGAAACCAACCAGAATTGGATAATTTTTCTGATATTGATTAATCTGGGAAGGCATTTTTACTTTCCAAAGAAGAGCATTTATATTCTAAGGTGTAGGGACTAGAAGGAATTAATCTGTAGATAGAAACATAATTTGGAATTGTTAGTGTATTTAGTTTGACTTTATCAAATTATAAACTGAATAAAAGATTACCTTCTTAGAATATGTTCCCCAATGCAAGACTATGTATTAAATGTGACATTTCATTAACTATATAAAGGGATTTTGTGTAATGATACTGTTTCTCCTGAAAATCACAGAGACGTGATTTTTTGGGGGGAAATGAGAACATAAAACTTATTAGTCCCAATACAGAGATATTTTCATCCCTCTTCTGCTACTACAGAAGCTGTTGTAGCTTGTTGAACGATTAGGATCATACTTGAAGAGATGAAGGTGCTAATTCAATATCGAGGATACATTCTAATTCAATGAAACGGCATGGCAAGAGTCAGCCTCTTCTATGGTCATTCTATTTGCCCACAATTTACATATGCTTTCAGAACTGGAATGCCAATCAAGACAGAGAAGACAGTGCAAAAAACTCACTCAATCCCTAACTCCATCCCTTGAGCATCATCATTGTACTGGCAGTATTCTACTTCAGGGTTGTAGTTGGTTGTTTCAAAATTATACATTATAGAAACACTCTTTCTCCTCACTGCATTTCCCAAAACTTTGTTATCTGTACACCCTCCTATCTGTAACACTTGCACTCTGCCCACCTAGTAACTGTATGAACTCCATAATTATGGATCTCTCTATTGCTTTCCTGAAGGACATCAAAACCCTCCTAACTTATTTCCCTGACTTGAAGAATTCTTATTTCCGTTATTCCAAACTCTCATTCTTGAAAAATGATAAAACTTAAAACTTGTTACAAGTCAATCTGTAATTTGATAAATACCCAGTGTTGGGTAAGTTTCTTAAAATAACTTTTGCTATCATATTACCTATTTTTAAATAACTGTCACTACAGTGGCATTATGTATGTTCACATTATTCTGCACCATGATCAATATATAACTCCAGGACCCTTCACAATCTATAACAAAAACTCTGTACCCATTAAAAAATGATTTTCTGTTTCTCCGTCCCTGGGAACTAGCAACCACCATTCTGCTATTCTGGCTCTATACATGTGACTACTATAGGATCTTTAGATTAGTGGGATTACACAGAAATTATTTTTTTGTGATTGGCTTCTTTCACTTAAATTCATGTTGTCAACAGTCATTCATAGTGTAATATGTGTCAGAATATCCTTCTGTTCTAGGTTGTATCTATATATATTTCCTTTATTAACTCAATCCATCAATGGACACTTAGGCTGCTATCAGTCATTTCAATTGTATATTTAAAGATAATTTTAAGGGGATTATTGATGTTTTTTTAAATTTTTATATTGTGAATACATATAGCTTAATATTATAGCAATTTGAGCTAGTTTTTTCCCCTTTACAACATTCAAGAGAGATTCATTTAGAGACTCATTATAAAAGTTAAATTTATTATTACATTTAGCAAATACTTTTTCTTATGATACTTTTTCTTGTGAAGTTTATAATTTTGGGTTTCTTTTTAATTTTAAATTAATAGTGTTTAACTTTTGAATGGAGATAGGTTATATATCTATGTATTCTTTTAAGGTGAAATATATGTATAAAAAATCATCATCAAGGATCTAATTGTCTATTCAACATGTTGTTTAGAGTATTTACTAGTAAAATCAACTAAAGGTGTCAGTTAAATAAGATCAGTGGTAGTAAATTATATTTTTTTCCAAGTAATAAAAATGTTAAGCTATTTGCTGTATTAAAATCCCTAACTATTATTTCAATATTATACAAAGACACAATTTTCACACATTAAAATGTTAGTAAAGTTACACAAAGATACTTCATGATAATTCTAACTAATTGACTATGCCTACAAAGGGTTTCAGAATTCTGATGAGGAATTAACTCATCCTGCAAATAAAATATTTAAAATGTCATTAAGTGGAAGAAAGTGAGTTAAACACTAAGTAACGTAGGAATTGCAAAGTGTAGTATTCTGAAAATAATGTTATTTCTCTATGGTTTAAAACAGCTATCATTCTTCTGTTTTCAGTCTTTTACTTAGAATGGTGCTGGAATTTGATATCTTTAAGTTATAAAATAATCCGTTTTCAATGATAATAGAGTATAAATACTCCCCTTTACCGTCAGTGTAATTACAGAAAATTTAGAGCACACTGATAATATTCCTGATGTATTTTTCTGATCCTTTTTTGACCAAACTTAATTAAAAGCTATATTTTTCCCCCTCAGAATATTGGGATGATCAATCTGTTCTGTTAAAAATAATATAATAACAGCTATATCATTTATGTGACTGAATTTATAATTTACTGCAAGGATTTTACCTGATGCTTGCATCAGCTAGCATAAGTTTTATTTTTTCATATTGTGGGATAGATAAATAATTTGATTTGTAAAACTACATAATGTAAATTTGGATTTTGTGGAGTTCAGACTGATAAATAAATTACTAAATATTAAAGATGACTATGACCTACTCACATAGATAAAAATGATGACTTCCACAGGCTGGAACTGTATCCCCTCTGAGCAGGGTCATCCTAATGTATTTTGGGAGAAGGAAAGATCTTATAGTCTGGCAGCATCAAACTCACTCACATCAGTGTCTAGAGTGCCCTCTGAAGGGGTGTGGCCTATTGACATCTTTTGCTAAAATTACTATCTTATTAGAATAGCAGACCTGTGTAAGTCTGAATCTTTGGATGACAAAAAATATTTAATTTTCAAAGATTTTAAAGAATCCCAGATTCCTACATTCTTTCAGAAACTACTGATTCATTAAAATCAAAATAAGAGAAGGGCATCTGGGTGGTGCAGTCAGATAAGCCTCAGACTCTGGTTTTGGCTCAGGTCATGATCTCAGGGTCATGGGATCAGGACCCACCTTGGGCTCCACACTCAATGCAGAGTCTGCTGGAGATTCTCTCTCCCTCTCCCTTTGTCTGTCCCCTGATCACTCACTCTCTCACTCTGAAATGAATAAATAAATCTTTAAAGAAAAAATAAATAAGAGATAATCACCTGCAAGCAAATGTAAAATGTAAATAGTTTCCATGAAAAGGAATGATTTAAAAATACATAAAGTAGTGAATTAAAGTGATACTTGCACTACTTGTTAAAACGTTGATGGAGGAGATTACAGAGTGCAATATTGGAAGATTAACTTTTGTCAAAGACGGTAATTAAAATAAAGAAGCCCGTGATAGGATTTAGCTATTTTTTCTAATTAAACATAATTCAATTGCTGTACTGTAAGTTGTTAGCTTGTATCTTTATGATTTCACTTTCTTTTATGTTTCCAGGTAAGTTACAAAATCTATGATAATAGCACCAAGAAACCAGAATGCATTAATTGTGTCAAGCACTCTGCAGTTTGATTCCATATGGATTGTTTTCAAATAATTTGTTATTGTTTGTACTATATATTTTAGGTTTCCAAGCAAAACTTGGTACTTGGTTACATTTTTACCCTGCTATTTGCCTTGGCTTGCCTAAGAATATGTACATAAGAATAGGTGATGGGGCAGAAGGAGGCACTTGTGATGAGCACCAGGTGTTGTATGGAGGTGTTAAATCATGTTACTGTGCACATGAAACTAATACTACACTGTATGTTAACTAACTGGAATTTAAATAACTTTCAGAAACAATATATATATAAGGATCACATTCCATAATTATAAAATTAAAAAAAATCTCATGGAATTGTCCATGGAAAATGCTGCCTCTACCAAATGTGAAAATGATTTAATTGCTTAATCCATGTGAGATGCAAGAAGTGTCATTTATTTGTTAGGAGGGAAGCACATTGTAGATTTTAGTTATACTTCTGCCTTTGGATGTTGACTCTTATCAAAGTGACAAATCCTACTCTCATTTAGAATATTATTGTCCACACGAGTGAACTCTACATTAAGTCAAGCTATACTATTTTCTGGGAAAAACTACAGTCTCCTAGCTAAGTCTGAGAAGTACATTATAACACATAGTATATTAAGTTTCAAGTAAGACTTTCTATGAGAGTGAAAAAATACTTTTCAGTAAATATTCGTATTTTTTGTTTTGACCTCAGGCCAAAGGGCTGTCAACAGTGTTCTAGTAAAACAGGGTGCCACTGTCCAATGGGGCAAATAGACTGTGTGCTATGTAGATCAAATGTGCTGCAGATTCCCAGGGGACAGGAGAATGAGGAACAGATAAGCTTCATGTCAGAGGAGGAAAGGCACATACCACTCAAAACTCTAAAAGAAAATTACAGTGAAATTACAATGCACCTGGGCATCTAAATTGAGCATAATTTAGGACTATTTATAAGTGTGTGAGCATAATCGTGGGAAACCATGAGGTTATAACAGACCTCCATTTTAGCAAGAGCAAGTTTTGCCACCACAATTCCTGAAAGCCTTCAGGGATAGAGAAGATTCTAGACTACCCCTAGACAGGCTGTGTGGAAAATACCTTACA